AGGAAAAGATGCAAATCCTTCTAAGACAGCTACAGAAAATTAGACAAGCTGCACAGAGATTTTTGCCAAAGATGGAGAAAATTACTGGATCTTACGTAGATTATTTGATGTCTAAGAAGGAATAAACTAGTGTTAACAGCCTTCCTATAATACGCTTGCAGTCAGTCAGTAGGTACAAGTTCAGAGGAAACCAGTCTTCAGCTCTCTTGCTGCCTACAGAACTATTTTCCTTGTCATCTCTGGGCCAGTTTGCCAACCCTGAAACCAGGTCTTCAGGTGATCTAGCCCTTTGGCTGGGTCGTGGTTATTCCAGGCATTCTGGCGTACCTGACGTGCAAACTGAACACACAGGATACGCGTGCACCACACAGCAGAAGGCCGTACAGAGATTGCATCCAGTCCTTGTTTTCAGCCATAGATGGGCTATGTAATCGGGTCAGTGATTTGCTCTCCTTTAATGTAATTAAATTTCACCTAGAATTGTGCAGAAATGCTGCGTAAAGCTCCATTCATTCGCGGATTGTGCATCCTGGACCCTTAGGACCAGACTTTTGCTTTTCTGGGGACACTTCTCAGCAGTTCCTACTAACTCAGTGCTCTACAGAGCCCGAGATAAACAGATATTTTCAGATCACTGCTATTTGGAAAAGCCTGGGTTAAATCAGGCAAAGGCAGCAGTCCCTGCCCATTAGGGCCTCCTTCCCGTGGGAAGTCTGTAGTAAGAAGTTTACATTTGCACAGCAAGTACAACAAGCTCTGCCGTCTCCCTCCCCACCAGCTGTCAGAATGGGTCTCTCCTTCTTAAAACTTCTTTCTAGAAGCCTGAAACCTGCACAGATGATCATGCTTCTAGCAGTCCACCGATTCTTTTATGACTGCATATCCCATCACACATGCCTAGTCCCCCCGACCGGTTAAATTCACTGCAACAAGCTTCTAGAGTTGTTACAGAAGTGTTCGCACAGTAAGCTCTATGAAAGGAGATCATTATTTCATTTAGCTAAGATTTTCCATTCTTTGTGCCCTGCCCAAAATGTCTTAAGTTCATAGCACTTTAACAAATCCCTATGATGAATAATAAGTTATTGTCCCTTATATTGCGGCTCTTACTAGAACTTTGTGGAAAGCTACAAAATCTGGGTGGTGGCATTTTTTCTCTATTCACTTCATAACAAGTGAACTTTGTATAATGCAGTCGTAAGACTATCTTGTGCGGGTTTTTTTGTACACTGAATCTTTCCCCGCTATTTATAATTCTTTTGGACCACATTGATTTTACAGTGTGTCTGATCTACTATTGTTCTTCCGGGATCAAAACAGTCAGAAGAGGCAAGAGTAAGCAGATCGGATTAAGACCATCGGCGATACAAATTGCATAGTCTAAAAAGAAAGCAAGTTAAGCAAACACAAATTTGCGTTTAACTTCTCAGCATTAATGAAAATATGAGTCTTCCTCACCCCTCCTCTACCTTGTGCACTGCGTACAGCTACCTTGCAGCCACAGCGTAGAATTACCCTCCGCTGAGCGCAGATAAATGTCCAAAGCTATTCAAATCAGTCAGTTTAA